CTTACTATCAATCATCTACTCACTCTTAAACCCTCCAAGGTGGTCTCTCATTAGGGACTTTGAAAACACAAGTTTAATTTCCACAGTATGCATATAAAATACTTTATTTCCTTAAAACAACTGTGTGTAGGATCAACTACTTTTTCATAGTCACTAGCAAGTCTTGAGAGCCAGAGACTGAAGGAACTCTGGGTACAATAATCACTTATTTAGCAAATTTTTTTTTGCACCTCTCCTCATGTGAGGCACAGATGAGGCCCAGAGAAGACTTGGGGAATTTTAGCTCTTTCCTGTATAGCACTGTTTGGGAATCAAAGATGAAAAGATATTGCCATTAAGAAATTGATATTGTAAAATTTGTTTGGTTATGATATGAGGCACAACGTGATAAATTCCACCAGGAAGGAAAAGATCAAGCACCCTGGTCATTTAGAGACAGGGAGGTTCCCCATGCTCTGTGGTCAGAGTAGGGAAGGGAGGTAGGCTTCAACAGGAAATGTGCTCTTGAGCAGTAGCCCTGCAAGTTGACATGGCATTTAGGTGAGGCCCCAGGCCTAGAAGAATAGCAGCTGGGTCTAATTGTCAAGGAGGAGGCTCAATGACTAGAGTATGTGTGTGTTTGGGGACAGGGAATATCAGAGAGCTTGTTGATAACAACTAAGCCTCCAGTCTGGGCTTCAGATCCTAAGTCTGGAAGTGCAATTTACTTTTGCAAAGCCTCCTTCTACCATTGCATAGCTCCTGCTCAAAGTCCTGCATTGGTGAGGATTGGCTTGGGATCACCTGGAGAGAGCCATATGCTGATGCAGGAAGATGCTGCAGAAAGGAGAAGCAAGAGGAAAGGGAAGGAGAGTTAGGCAGGAGAGAATTAGGTATATTACATACCTAGTCAATGTGCAATTTCCAGAATGTAAATTCTGTAAATCCCCTGCCCTACAATATTCTCTAGAAAGCTGACATTTGCCAAAGTCCTAATAGAGCTCCATACACACAAAGGGTGTTCAAAAACATCAGGTGATAATGTCCAGCAGTGTCAAGCAATTGGCTCTCCCTTGCACCATCTCTGCTCAAAGAATGAAAATATGTGTGCAGCCAGCCTAGAGGGACTTTCCTTTTGTGTTGTAGACGATCACTTAAGTTTAGCTGCAGGATTCTCAGACTAGACAGTCTTCATTGTCCTGGAAGATGTAGAAAAGATAAGTAGGAAAATCTGTACTAATTCCTGTGAGTTTCCCATGTATTTTATTTTTAATTTGTTCCTTTGTGTGTAGAGTTTGTGCTTTTTGTTTTGTTTTGTTTTTGTTTTTAATACAAGCAGACTGTGTGACTTCTTGTTTAATATCTTTCTCACACACACTAGAAAAATAATAGATTCTGGGTACTATGTTTGTGTGTATTATTTTGGTTTTTTTCTGCTAGGTTCGCCTGTCACTATTTCTATCCAAATGACTTTCATAACACTCAGGAAGTACCAGAAGAACATACCTAATAATTTCCCTGCCTTCCTTTACCCTTTCACCTAATTCCATGCTGAGAAGACTCTTTCATATCAGAAAACCATATATATTTCACCAAAGAAACCAGCACTAACAGGAGCATCTTTAAATTAGTTCTTCTGAGGTTTGATTTCTTGAAAGAGAAAATTGGGAAGTCAACACTAAATATTTCATCTGACTGAGGTTTCTGGAGGCCAAAGGAACAAATTTAATTATGCTCTCCTGTCCTTCCTAACCAAGACCTGTGCCCTGTTTAGCACTGGTTATTTTCTTGAACCACTTCATCTGAGCAGTCATATTTTGGTGATACCAGGGTCCACAGAGATGAGCAATAGAATTTCACCTAGATTATGTTTGGCCCTCCACCTACTTAAATGGGAAGTTATTATGTTCACCTGAAACATAAACATAGCAAGAACAGCTCTAAAATAGGCATCCTAAGCCATGACATTCACTCATCTCTCATTCAAATAAAAGACATTCTTATGACCCTTATCCAGACTAAAAATGATTCTGAATGTTTAAACTGTATGTTTCAAATCCAATTCTAATGTCATGACACATCCTGTTGCAAAACCAAGGTACTCCAGGAAGATCCTTGAAATCTCTCAACACTCAGCATAATCCTAACTGCCATCAGTTCTGTGACCACTGCTCTTCACAAACTGAATATGTGAGCCATTTTACTCTGAACTAAATTTCAGCAAAGGATGAAAAATAAAGAATCACTATAACTCATATTAGTTTTCATTTACAGATCATATTGTCTACAAATTGTTATCCGTAGGGTGGGAAGCAGTAGAGACAATATGTAGCACATAGCTTCCATCTCTGATTTAGTCCTTTTCATCAAGAAAGAACAACTAGACATTTCTGTGCTGATTTGGTTAACACTTTCTCTATAGGTGACTTAGAACCTTCCTGATAATATTTACAGTTTTCTAGAGGAGACAATATATGATCTGTATCTGTTTTATGAAAATATCCTTTGGTTTCATTGCATAGTTACTTAGCTGTGTGTTAACTCAATGGTTCAATAATAAAGCTAAAATATAATTATTTCAACTTTAAAACTAATAATGCCACAAAAACGTGTATCTCATATAAAAAATAAGAGCAATCAATGGCAATTAAACTGTCATTTGTTCCTATAATTCTCTTAAATACATTACATAAAGACACTTGATACATTAAGAAAATTGAGACTTTAGGTGTTTGGCTTTTAGAGAAATGGAAATTGTCCTGACCCTAATATGAAGATGCTTTAGATTTTTCTCACATATGTAAAATTTCTCTGATTCCTGGTTTATTTCTTGGCTGTTTTGTTGTACAAAAATACAGTTTAAAATAAGTAAATAAATAAAATAAAATTGTGCTCATCCATAGTACTCACAGAAATCTGTATCCAAAACTCCACTAACAATAACATGCCTTCAGTTCAAGTTACACCCATCTAGATGGAGAGATGAACATATCTGAATTATACATAAACTGATACTTAAGCCTCACCACACAAATAATTAATCTCAAGTAGTACAAGAACTTTCATGTTTCTTTCCTTGATTTTGCCTCAGGTATTAACCACCCAAAAAGTAACAGGGATGTCTTTAAACATTTCTGGCAAACAGCTGGGTAGCATTTCACATGACATAACAAGAACTTCACTAAAATGACTCCTAAAAAATTAAAAGTTAGTTTGGATCACTGTTATCTTTGGGTGCTTGGGGCCATTTGGAGAGGAAAGAATTCTACAGTTAATTAGAAATCACACAATGAGGAAGTGAAGTCTGACAAGGCCTCTCTTCAATGGTTATGCTAGTTCTAAAGAATATATGTTGCACTTCATGAAAAAGTTGATGCCCCCAGTTTGAGTTTAACTATCTTAGTCTCAATATCTAAGAACATTCTAATTGTCCCTGAGATCAGACACAATCCAGTAGAAACAAGATTTTCTCAGCCTATCTTTATAATAACATAAATAGCAAGGGAAACAAAAGGTAAAATAAACTATTGGGACTACATTAAAATAAAAACTTCTGCACAGTGAAGAAACAATCAACAAAACTAAAAGGCAACCTACGTAATGGGAGAAGATATTTGCAAATGACATATCCACTAGAGGACCAGTATCCAAAATTTATAAAGAACATTTACAACTCAACACCCAAAAAACAAATAATCCAATTTAAAAATGGGCAGAAGACATGAACAGATATTTCTCCAAAAAAGATATACAGATGGCCAATAGACACATGAAAAGATGCTCACCATCACTTATCATCAGGGAAATGCAAATCAAAAATTGCAATGGGATATCACCTCACACATGTTAGAATGGCTAAAATCAACAACACAAGAAACAACAGATGTTGGTGAGGATGTGGAGAAAAAAGGAACCCTCGTGCACTGTTGGTGGGAATGCAAACTGGTGCTGCCACTGTGGAAAACAGTATGGACATTTCTGAAACAATTAAACTAAAACTACCTTTTGATCCAGCAATAGCACTATTGGGTATTTACTGAAACAATACCAAAAGCACTAATTAAAGGGATATATGCACCCCTGTGTTTATAGCAGCATTATTTACAATAGCTAGGATATGGAGGGAGCCCAAGTGTCCACTGACTTATCAATTCATAAATCCATTTATCCATTCATAAATCCATGTATCCATTCATAAATCAGTGGACTGCCTCCACTGGGCTTGGGCTGCCTCCATATCTTGGCTATTGTAAATAATGCTGCTATAAACACAAGGGTACATCTATCCCTTTAATTAGTGCTTTTTGTATTGTTTCAGTAAATACCCAATAGTGCTATTGCTGGATCAAAAGGTAGTTTTATTTTTAATTTTTTTAGAAATGTCCATAGTGTTTTCCACAGTGGCAGCACCAGTTTATATATAATAAATATAAATAAATATATAATACATATACCAGTTTATATAAATAATATAAATAAATATATAATATATATAATGGAATATTATTCAGCCATAAAAAGAATGAAATCTTGCCATTTGCAATGACATGGACAGATCTAGAAAGTATAATGCTAAGTGAAATAAGTCAGAGAAAGACAAATACCATATGATTTCACTCATATGTGGAGTTTAAGAAACAAAACAAACAAGCAAAGGGGAAAAAATGAGAGAGAGAGTCAAAGCAAGAAACAGATTCTTAATTATAGAGAATGATCTGAAGGTTACCAGAAGGGAGGTGGGTGAGGGGATGGGTTAAATCAGTGATGGGGATCCCTTGTTGTGATGGGTACAAGGTGATATATGGGACTGATGTATGAGACTACTATATTGTACACCTGAAAGTAATATAGTGCTGTTTGGCAACTAATTAGAGTTTAAAATACTTAAAGTAAGGGGCACCTGGCATGCTCAGATGGAAGAGCATGTGAATCTTGATCTCACGGCTCTAATTTGAGCCCCACACTGAGTGTAGAGATTGCTTAAATAAACTTAAAAGAAACCTGGAGTAAAAAAAAAAATAGTGCTCACTTCAGCAGCACATATACAAAAATTGGAATGATACAGAGATTAACAAGGTCCCTGTGAAAAGATGACATGCAAATTTGTGAAGCATTCCATATTTTTACATAAATAAGTAAATAAATAAATATTGAAAAATAAATAAAATAAAATAACACAAGTATGTATATCATAATCCTAATTTCAGTCCTGAATATGCAAGACTAATTAAGAGGAAAATATCTAAGTATTAATAATAACTGATTGGCATTTTTAATGGTCCCAGAATAAAGTATCTTGTAATAACAGCATTCTCATGTTATTTTTCCTTTGTGAGTACCCTTAGCTGGCAGATTATTTGCAGGGACTCCACTCAGTAAAAAGATAGTAATTGCTTTAATCAGTTAACCACATTAATGCCCTCTAAATTTTAAATAAAATATATAGGGTTAAGTAACCAGTCATCACTGAAGAGAGCAAGGCATAGATGTACAGAGAGAACAAGAGACACCATAAGGAGGAGATTGGAAGCAGCAGGAGTTAGTCCCTAAAACTGCTTCAGAAGCTCACGTTTAATGAGATCTAAGTATGTGCCAAGCTTTAGTTAAACACTTTACCTGCATCATTTTATTTAATTCTTACAGCCATATGTGATAGTCTATCATTGTCCCTATTTTTCATATAAAGATACTAAGGTTTAGAGATGCGAAGTGAAAAAAACACCATCAAGGTCTGCCATCAAGATTGCAAAACCTGTGCTGTGCCAGCTAAGAACACAGCCAGAAAGAGCCTCTGGCTAAAGCTCTTAGCATCATTTTCTCCTGGTCCCAAAGAAGTGAAGTTTTCTAGAGCAAGCAAGCCTTCTTTGAATTAGGGTTGATTCTACCTATTATGGAACTGAGAAGAATACTGGTAAGTGAAGGAAAACAATTCTTAATGAAACTCATATTTGGCTTTCTGGACATCAGAATGGAAAACTGAATACAAATATTCTGTGGCACTACTCCAACACCTTCAAAAGCACTAATTATTTCCTTCTTCCTTCAAGATCACCATTGTCCAATGAGTAAGATAACTAATAGTCATTAGAAGCAGCTTGTACATATTGAGAGAGTACAAAGTAAGGCAAAGGTAGAAGTCTAGGAGCCACTTTGAGCTTACTGATCCTCCAGAAAGATACTGGGACTCCCAAAAAACATGACTCCTTCAAGAAGAAAAAATGGACAGGAGATAGTGTATTTCTCATTGCTCCTTATCTTCCCCTTTATGATCACTTAATTCCTTGGTCACACCGGCATTGATGGTGAACTCTTTCCCAGAGGTTTCTGGTGCTTATATTATTACCTCCTGGGCATCTACTAAAAGTCATTTATTGTTAAACACATAAAGATCTCTTTGTCAATCTCAAACATCTGTGTGTGTGTGTGTGTGTGTGTGTGTGTGTGTCCGCGTGCGCGCGCATGTGTTCTCCACTTGGTATATACACATCAGAGAATTTCACAAAACACCCAGTTTATAGTTCATTTTCCCACTCAAGTCATTAGTGACCCCACCAGCATGACGGGAGGGGTCTTTCTGGTTCTTTATCAATATGACAAGAGGCGCATTTGCTTGTATTGGTATCTTTACTTTGAAGTGAACTGAAACCCCACCGCTTTTATTTTGTTGGTAAAAATCCTTAAGAACCCTCCTATCTTTGACCCCATATGGAGTCCTATAATCTAGTCTCACTTGGGGCACCAGAACCTTTTAGGCCATCACTACTGAAATTGGTACTGGAAAGGAAAATAATATCTCTCAGAAAAGTCAGAGAAACTAACAGGAAATTGTATGAGGAGAATATTAGAAAGAAAAAAGCTGGGAGGGATTTGCGTGTTTTGTTTTTAGTCTGGCATTTAAAGTTAACTCTTTGTTGTTATAATACTCTTTTGCTTTGCTTTGAATCACACATTTTTGTGAATCAGCTTTAGGACTAAAGCATTGTAAAGCATTGAGAAAATAATTGTTTTTCAAAAGAGTTTCTTGGAGCTCTTATTTCCTGTATACAGCATACCATCCAAGAGGATTTTACATCAATGGCTGGGAAAGATAAAATGATATTGTTAGACTTTACATATAAAACAGCAATGAGGCTAATAGCAGTTACTAATACCAACTGGGAATAAAATGGTTCCAGTTTTTAATATATTGTACAGATACCCTTTACTTATTTCTGAGTAAATTCCATATACATTTCCTAATTTATATAATAGTTAAAGATAAATGATCAGAAATCAAGAGGAAATAGAATAAAAATGATTTTCCCAGGAAGAGTGCTACAGTTAATTTCCAGTTTGACTTTGAGCTTTTGAGACTCAGAGAAAAATAAGGGAAAGAAAGGTTATAACATTCTGATCATCAAATTACCAAGAGAGGCGCACCTGGGTGGCTCAGTCAGTTAAGCATCCGACTTCGGCTCAGGTCATGATCTCACAGTTCATGGGTTCGAGCCCCACATTGGGTTCTGTGTTGACAGCTGAGAGCCTAGAACCTGCTTCAGATTCTGTGTCTCCCTCACTCTCTGCCCCTTCCCCTGCTCATACTCATCTCTCTCTCAAAAATAAGCATTAAAAAAATTGTAATAAGAAAATTATCAAGAGAAACAAATGTTTTTTCTAGCAATAAATGCTAATAGAAATGGTCACTCTAATTGTTATATGAGGGCCATTTGAAAGTTCTTTATTTAACTTTCAATAACTTCATTCGAAATTTTGATACAGAAATAAAGCTTAAAGAAATAGAGGAAGGAAGAATTAACCTATCTATATCATATATATATTTTGTAAATTGAGTTTTAATAGGTACTAGAGAAAATGTATTCAAAGTTTTAACTTCCCAACAAAGACCTGAGGTGGCAAAATACATTTTGATCTGAAACCAATGAGCCTATAAATGTGCCCAAATATAGCCATTCCAACCCATATAGAGGTTGCCTTCAGAGATATCTATGCATAGGGTCAAACATCTCTCTGTCTCTGGATTTAATACAGAACACAGAAACCACTCTAGGTATTTCCAGAGTATCCAGCAAGGGATTTAATACCGGAAACCAGGTATTACACAATAATTGGAAGGATTAGAAAAACCTAAGTCACAGGTCTTTTGGTTTTAAGGTCAGCTATGAACCAGATTTTAGCCTATTACTGCTTCTACTAATGCATCTGCTGACACAAACTTGGCTTGCTCCCAATAATGAAGCTGCTGACTAGACAGGAAAACGGAGAGTCCAGAGCTTGGCTGTCAGCTGTCACTGCTGCAAAAAGATAGCCTTTAATTTTCTTTTACTTTTAAAATTTCTTTAAATTGCATACCATAATACATCCATAATCCTAGCTGCAAAGGAATCTGAGAATTGCAAATTTTATCCTTCCAGCCCTTCCAGATATAAATGGATGGCAAAAGTATATTCCCACAAAGAACTTTTATTCTGCCATTTATAGGTCTTCACCTGAGGTCTTCAGGTTCTGTGCCATAGAACTTGGAAGATATTATTTTGTCCATAAAACATTAAGTGCTATATACTACCCTTCTTCAGTACCTGAATCAATCCTCACAGCAGTTAAAAGCACTTCCTTATTCTCCTTCTCAACTGGGAATGAGAAAGATGGACCACAGTGGGTAAGGATGGGTCAGGGCAGGTCAGAATGAATCAAGGTTGATCCGTGGGAACCCATGTGGTTCCTGAACTGACTTTGTATCTCTTTTATTTTTAACTTTATTTGTTTGTTTGTTTGTTTGTTTGTTTTGAGAGGGAGAGACAAGCACATGAAAGTAAGGGAGGGACAAAGATAGAGGGAGAGAGAATCCAAAGCAGGCTGCATGCTGTCAGCACAGAGCCCAACATGAGGCTCAGTCTCACAAACCATGAGATCACAACCTGAGCCCAAACAGAGAGTCAGACACTCAACCAATTGAGCCACCCAGGGGCCCCCTGACTTTGTGTGTCTAGCCTAGCATGCAGGATTCCTGAACAAACCCAGTTCCAGCCTCTCTTGTCAGTCCTGTTTTTACTGAAAGTGAGTTATCATGTTTTGGGGATGAATCCTAATACAATCAATTACTTGAACAAATGCATTTATTTATTTATTTATTTATTTATTTATTTAATGAATAATATTTTCTTAAAGGGGGAATTTATTTTTAACAGAGCTGATATTAAACTACTGTTTTCTAGAGTAAAGCACCAAAAGATTCAATGCCTTCTTAAAACCATGACATAGTATAGATATGTCTTCGTTTGTTATGGTAGATGTGAATCATTTCTTCTTACCTGATTCCAGTTATTTAGATTTGTTTAAAGTTATGACCGGGGCGCCTGGGTGACTTAGTCGGTTGAGCGTCTGACTTTCGCTTAGGTCATGATCTCGCGGTTCGTGGGTTCGAGCCCCGCGTCGGGCTCTGTGCTGACTGCCAGCTCAGAGCCTGGAGCCTGTTTCAGTCTGTGACTCCCTCTCTCTCTGACCCTCCCCTGTACACGCTGTCTCTCTCTCTCTCCTAGAAATAAATAAAAAACATTAAAAAATAAATAAATAAAGTTATGACCTATAGACCTACCCTTTTTTTACACCATTTACAGTTCATATTTGACTAGTCAGAAAAACCATTCTTGCCTCTAGTTCTGACAGTAATTCTGACAGAATTAGGACAATTAGCATCAAAGATTGTTAGCAATTTAGATAGCTTAGACCCCAGTAAATGTCCCTGTCTGTAATAGGGAAGAATATGAATCTATTCTACATAGTCTAAAATCTCAAGCATAAACATTCAAAGCTGGATCAGAAATGTAGCTGACAATGCAAGGACGATCTCAGTGCTGACAAAAGGTAGCAAGGAAAACTAGATGACTATAAGCAGGTAGCCCTGTTGACAAATAACCATCTGGTGATTAATAATAGGAATTACACAACAGAGGTGGTAACATTCAACTTCTTTACTTAATTATTTTCAATCAAACATAGTGGGTGGGATTTTTAGCTATTATCCTGGTTTTTCCTCATGTAAAATCAGATTCTTCTGCTAACTTTGCTGGTAAAAATCATATTTATCTTCCAGCTGTTACTATCAGATATGCTGTCTGGAAGCATTTG